CAATCAAATCAACCAACTAACCAACCTAACAAATCAACCAGCCAACCAACTAGCCAGCCAATCAAATCAACCAGCCAACTAACCAACCAATCAAATCAACCAGTCAACCAACTAACCAGCCAATCAAATCAACCGGCCAACCAACTAACCAGCCAATCAAATCAACCAGCCAACCAACCAGCCAGCCAATCAAATCAACCAGCCAATCAACTAACATTTCGCGGCAAGATTTGATAGAAGATGATAGCGAATCCGGTAAGACAGATTGCACTGGAGAAGTAGATGAAGCCGCTGTTCATCGGTGTTACTTCCAGCGGCGCTATGGCGATGTATATCAGTGTGGCTGATAGTCCGCTCATTGCCTGGCCATCATCATTATTATTATTATTATTTTTATTATCGTTGTTATTTTCAGATAAAATCAATAAATATTCACAGACAACTTAAATTAAATTTTAACGCCAACAACATTAATTTTAATCTTTTGATAAAAAACTTTTGAGATTTCAGCGTTGGGTTTTTGCAGTAGTTTTTAATTTATCACCAGTAGATTAAATTTGGTCGGAACAATTTAGAAACAATTCATTAAACTCGGTTTTATCATCATCATATTGAATATATTGCGATTGGAACGTTGTATGAGCCTTCCTTCTTCTCTAAACTAACATTCTCTATTAGTAATCATTTGTATAGAATAATGAACGAAGTAGACTACTAACTTCGTTAATTTCATTATTATTATTATTATAATAATTTTGATTTCAATATATCATTATCATTATTTTAAATTAATTTCATTATATTGATTAGTGCCATTATAAATGTTATTTCATTGAATAAAAGCAGTGTTCCCATTATTGTTGTTGTTGTTGTCGTCGTCATCATCTTCATACTCATCAACCTTATCATCAGTAGCAGCAATAACAACAACAATAACAACAACAATAACAACAACAATAATAATAATAATAATAACAATAATAATAATAATAACAAAATCAACAACAACCAACTTACTTGACCAGTCATATAGGCGGCTGAATATTTTGGCGGGAACTTTGAGATCAACCCGAACATGCCACCTTGTAATATCGCCACGAAGGCTGGCCAATCATAAACGAAGAGAAAAATAATAATAATAATAACAGAAATAATATTAAAATTAATAGTAAAAATGTTGATACTAACAATATTAATACTGCTGCTACTACAACAGCCTCCACTACCACAACCACCACTAATACTTCTACAACAACAACTACTACTATTACTACTACTTCTTTTTCCACTACTACTACTACTACTACTACTACTACAACTACTACTACTACTACTACTACTACTACTACTACTACTACTACTACTACTACTACTACTACTACT